GTATGACGTTTTCAAAATTTGGTTGCAACAAGGAGACTATAGAGCCTATCTAGTCCTCCGCAATGTTATTCAGAGTAGTTTGAATTTCCGGTACTAAGGATGGCACTTCTTATTAACGTCTGAGAATTTATTAAGTCAACTGTAGCCTTACACTTGATTGGTTACTTTGTACAAGGTTTTATGGAACTGTTTTGGTCAGTTTTTTTCTTGGTTAATGCTTCTCATTACAATGAAGGCTTGAATTGCAGCCTAATCCTTTAAAATTCGGAATACTTTCCTCAAGCTATTAAGATCATTTCTAATTTCGCCAAATTTCAGTTCTTTCTTAAAATCTTTTGCACTAAGATATTGTAATTATACTCTCTGTTTCAAAATGCGATACATCATCTGGCTGAAATATGCAGTATCACGGGCCAAAAATGTCGAACCTCGCTGATATCGAGCACTTTTTAGATATGTTTCTTCAGATGCTAATAATGCACCGAATGATTAGGCTTATAAAAAACTTAGATCTCGGATTATTACCTGAGTCGTTCATAAGCTGTAAATTTATTTATTATTCTTTACCTTTGCATTTTTATTATTTTCTTTTTTATTCTTGTATATGCAGCATCGCAGTGGGCCTAGCCTTGGCTGTGGCCCGGGGGCTGGCAACAGTGGTGCCTCATATAGTAGGCCCTCGTCTTCTTCGGCTGCTTTCCCACTTGCCTCGGGCTCATCCGGATCTGTCTTTGCCTCAGGCTCCGCTCAAACTGGGGCCAGCTCATCCTCTGGAAGCGGGTTGTCATGCGGTCCAGGACCGTTGGCACCTCCTATGTCCCTTGGTGGCCTGCCACTCGGCCTCTTGCCATCTGCAGTTGGATCTACTAGCTCTGGCCCCAGTAACCTTTTCCCTCCACCTCCACCTCCACCTCCCCCGTCATCAGCTACTCAAGTCGGAACACCTACTGGCATCTTTTCTGGTTCTGGGGGCAACGTTGGACCAGGTCCAGGGGGCCTAGCAGGAATGCCACTACCTACTGGTCTCGGACCTGGTGCTCCATCAGTTGGCCTGGGTCACGGTGGACCCTTGCCGACAGGCACTGCAGCTGGCCCTGGAGGAGGGTGCAGTGGACATGTTGAAGAGAAACGCCGCCGGCTGAATAGCAGTGGTATTCAAGCTGGTGTATCTGCCCAAGCTTCGACACCAGGTCTTAATTCAAGTGGAGAAGCAAAGGTATTTATCTGAAAGTGTTATGCTGCTATATCTATTTTTCACTCAATAATCAAATTTGCTAAATAGTTTCGAAATTTTATTAATCTTACTGCTGTCAAAACAGGGACAACCTTGTCCTTTCTCCTCTAATAAATATCATTTCGCGAGTATCCCTGGCGAATTTTTCTAGATATTTTGTCCTTATACTTTATTAGTGACGTGAACTTAGTAATTTTTTGAAATAACTACATACTTTATCGATCATCATTTGATCTACTATTAATTAAGAAAAACAAACCGTCTTGAAACGAGAATCCCTTTCTATGCTTAAGCATGGATGTTTTCCTTTTCTCTTATATTTATGTTTTTTTGTATTTCATTTCATTTGTTATTCATTAGCTGCA